AGATCAGTTAACGGACAGTGAAGAGTTATGCATGAGTTTGGGATATTTGGAAATTTCATACCACTTACAACATCGTCCGCATAATAAATGAACAAAAATAATTGAAAATAGTCATGCAAGAAATACAGATAGACGACACGGTGACCTATAGTAACTTAAAGAAATCATTCATTGGAAAATAGATGCAAAAAGTTGGAACCATCATATTTAATAAACTGTAGACAATGTGCTAAATAACTATAAGTTGTATTAGTTATTCACGGTTGAATGCCCCTCTCAAATAGAGAAAATATGAAGAAGTTTTGTCATACGGACACAATTGAAGGCTGCACTATAGTCAAAAACATTATGAAACACTTCACATTTACTGTCCAGAGAGGAGGAAACAGTGAATGCGGAGCGCTAGTGCATTGAAAGGAAGACCAGGAGCTGGGACAGGCAGAGAGAAGAATCTATTGCGAGAAGTAGAGAAGAGTTAGATTAATCAGAATCATCTCCAAGTTTCCTATTGTAATCACGCGTTGGCTTCTTTCTGTCTGTCAATCACGAACGAGTGGCAATCAGTTTTGTGCTAGACTGAATGAGGACTACTTGAACAAACCTCCGAACACAGATATTCCTTCAGTGGATTTATTATCGCTGTAAGCGCTGATCCGTAAATAGCTATGACTTAGGCTACCTACCTGCTGCGTGTCATGAGCACACACGTATTGTGCACGAATGGCCGAAGACGAGCTCTTCCGTTCTGATCCTCTCAGTCGAATCTGTTCAGAAAAATTGTATTTGACAGAAATGCTCTCCTCGTGTTGCTTTTCTACTTTGTAGTGGAAATCAAGGTTTGGCGTCGTCCACTGGATTCAAACTGAATTGTACTGATAAGTGCAGATCAAGATGGATTGATCAGTCGGTCGCTATGTACTGTGTTATGCAAACAACTAGAGCGTGAACAATACTACAGCATGAACCACAAAGCATTGATTTTAAACGGGGGATAGGACCATGCTAGCCTGTATCATCCAGCCAAAGACGAGGGGGCGTTATGCATCGTAATATTTACATTCAGTGCGTAAAATGACAGGACTATAATGACTAAGATAAAGCAGAATGACTTCACAGCCCCCGTAAAATGTGCTGAAATAGAAAAGCGATGAGAATGAAAACTTAAATTGTATGTATAATCCACATATCGAGGCAGCACATATAGTGAATAGTTTTATGGGGAAAAAATAATATTTTCTGCATTTACTATTTTGGAGCCATCGGGATAATTGATAAGTGGGTGGGGGGCACCTGATAAAGCTCCTATTAGGCAGTAGTCTGTATGCAGTGATACAATTGCGGCAAACCTCAAACACTTGCTTTATTAGCTCATCCGTAAATGGCCATTATATGCATCTTCGAGCGACTGCATTCATGGCACGAATATCGGATAGTCCATGGTGAGATTGTTTTCACAGGGCGNCCCCCCCCCCCCCCCCGAGTAACAGATATCCATGTTTATTAGCTAAGGCTAGTCTCCTTTTGAGAAGGTCTGCACATGCTTCATTTGTATATTATTAGGCAAACTGGTTCTATAGCATAGCATCATATTGTGGAATAACCTTTCCTTCGCTGTTTCCTACCAAATTCACGGTAGCAGTAACCAGTAGACTGTGAGTCCAATCGTCGAAAACCCACTGAACATCACAATCAACGGGGATTGATGCATTCACACATGAGAGAGACTGCTACCAGGATCACCTGTACAAAAGTTGTCTTTTTATTGAATCTTAACTCACCGCTCTAAACGGTTTGTCCTGGGACGCCTGTCTTCGGTTTGCAGATAGAGAACAACGGCTTTTGATCACTAGACAGTTCCGTGAAACACTGGAGTGATCAATTATCACGAAAGCGATGGCAAAGTTGATCAGTCAAGTGTGATTCGATTAGAGTGAGCTGTCAACGGGTACACGACTTGCTGCAACCTGGTGTGCAATTTCGCTATACTTAACGTTCAGAAAAGGTCTCAGGACGCATTCAAACAAAAAGCGTTGTCTCAAACACTGCAATTCAGATGCAGCGTGATTTAAACTATTTTGAGATGCATTCGAACTCTAAGAAAACCATAAGTGAGCGAATAATGTCATTCTGATAAGTAGAACATCCATGACAGAGTCCGACACAAAACTCATTGCAAGAAGCGTAGGTGCAATATTTGCAATGCGTACCTGTTTTGTATTCAGTCGAGGGGCGTTGTGGCAGCATCTAATAAGATAATCGCACAGTACACACGTTTAACAATGCGCCATGAAAACATTCACAAAAAGTTATCACGACTATTCGCCGATAAACCCAGACCTCACACGAGTGCATATAATCATTTTGACAAATCTGTCAGATAATTATGCACACCAGTTTTGATTAACTCGACAAATTTCCAAATGTCACAATTCACCGTAACGATAGGTAGATGACACTGAACGCTTCATTTCATTTTACATTTTGTGATTAATTGAAAGAGATTTTTTCATTCCCGACGAAAGTTTCATCGTACAGTTCAGGGTCATTTTCTGATTTGATAAAACGTTGCTCAGTTCATTACGACGGAATCTCATCAATCATCAGGTGTCAACAAATCTGAAGGTAATTAACGGTAGTTGACTAAGTAGGCAATCAGCAAACACCGATGTCAGGATTTAAAAAAGGTAGCTATCATCACCACAACGGGATGTATGATTCAGCTAACTGGTTTAAACATTTAGACCATCTAAGTAGGCCTTACTAGATGGGATTGAAACAACAACAAACATCATAACGCTTTATAATACACCCGTAACACCCAACGCAGTCGCATCACTCATTAAACTTCCTCAGCACAACACTTACACGGGCTAATTCTATTTCGAACTGCAGCCAAGTGATGATGATGTCGCGCAGTTTGTCTACGGAGAGAGGCTCTAAAGGGGAAACCACGGTCACGTTTTTCTGTCTGTATTACTTCAAATTGTTCCGGAATTTGTATGCTTGACACACGGATGACGTATTCACAAATTATGAATCAAAAAACATCTGTTAACAAACTGCTGCTAGCTTTCAACAATGCTCACCCAGCAACGCAGTGTACTATGCGAAGGGCAGTTATCATATTTCTTGATGTAGACATAAGCCGAATGAATAACGGTAACATGCGGAGCCAATAGACTGACAAACTGCCATCGGGGAGAACAATCGGAATCAGCAAATTGTGGTAAGCTCTGTAAGCTTCGTTGGTTGGGGCACGTATTGCGTATGCCCAGCTATCTTCTAACGCCTTAGTCGCAGTTGCGGCTCCATATTGTAGGAAATCAAGTGGACGTCAGCGGATGACCTGGAAACGAGGCGTGAAGAAATGTACAGAGCGATTAGGTAGAATAGGTGTCTCCTGTCTTCCAGGTTGGGGCCCAAACGACTGTCACTGGTGCGTTGCAGACACTGAAGGCTATGGCAGCTAACCGAAAGCAGTGGCGTTCTGGCTGTCATTTCTTATCTGGCCAGAAAGCTTGGAAAGGTGTGCACTCTGTGTTGACCATAGAGGTTCAATTTCTTTGCCTTCCTCTATAGTGAGGCCAAAACCCTATCCATCTTGTACTTTCTCATTTACTTTGTGTACACTGACACCGCGAACATTGTAATCATTCTCTTACCCATCAATAAGGGGTTCATGGAAGATAACGACAACAATAGCGCTTAAATTTGTTGCTGTGATGACAAAATATAATCAACATGAGATGAATGAACCTTGGAACGCATATCACAGCACCCATCCTGGGGTAAAGCGAAAGATCGCACAGACACAAATTGGGCAATAGATCATTGGTCATGGACCGATAAGGGTATGACTTAGAGCAATGGACTTCCGGCATACACACACACACACTTGGGTCCCTGTAGAGGATGCCACAGAAGAACGAAGGGGTAAATTGATGACAGAATATCTGAACTTAAAAATGAACACTGTTTGCCAGATCAAGCCAGTGATCAGGACTTAACATAGCAGGTATTGAGTTCATTCTGTATCAAAACGAACCATTACAGTGTGAGAAAGTGATACAGCCGGAGAGCGCAAATCATCATTACACCAGATGACAACAAATGGACAAAAAGGAAGTAGTCGTATATTGGTTGATTGCAAATCAGCGAATGCAAGTTATCTGTGTCAAAGGGATAGAAACTAAACAGGACAAAGGTGAAAACGTTCAGTTAATGAGACGCTGATGATGATAAAGATGAAACACGATGGAAAAATATTATGGGACACGAAAATGAAAATATAGCACCGAATGTATGCGTCAGTCCGTGCAAAGTAAACGGGTAGAACCGGACAGCACAGATTTTTCTGGCAATATGCACGTGCGAGCTGTTCACCGAACATCGAAATCCTACTCAGTATTCGAGAAGATAGAAAGAGATAACAAGAATTTGCGGAGATTTTTCAACCGTGTTGTCCTGGCACCAAGAGGGAGAAAACACAGTGGAAGGATGACGGCGATCAAGCCAAATTACCGCAGCCTAAACCCGACAATATATGGTCGTCTGCATAGGTGAAAGACAAAGTAGGTTATTGCGACTAGTCGGAAGAACATGAGGATCACGTCACTGAAAGAACGCACGGTGGGTTCGAAACGAACAGCCGCAAAGTGGACAAGGGAACAGAGTGCTGGAATGAGAACGCACAAATGGTCACTAAGCCTTAGGGGACTGCATACCAAGTGATTAAGTCGATGACTGAAAAACGGGGTGGAGTTTGAAAAAAATAACGAACAACACAACGGTGACACTCACTCCAACGAAAAATCGGAACTGGGGGACAATTAAGATACAGAGGAAAATATAGTTTGGTTGGGGGCTGGAGTGAGGTGATGATACAGACAACCGGAATTAAAAATGGGGAAATAAGGGTGTTGGTGACGAACAATAACACCTTATGAGCCGCACAGGTAGAGAAATCATGAAAACAAAGAGAGATGCGATTGGTTCTAGAATTAAGGGCCTTTCTTCGGTACATCGGATGTGGATTTGGTTCGAGCCGAGAGCGGAGAGCGAGAATCGGATTTATTCTTGGTTTTGGAAAAAGGTGTCGATGGACTATTCGCTTTACTCGGACTGTTTCGACGCATGTTGGGGGAACTGACGCGAATCTGAGCACCAGTTGACGGGTCTTGGAAACTGGTACTGAAGTAGGGTGCGACATGTTTGTTAAGGAGTGTATAACACACGCTACATACAGGAACTTGACGACCGAGAGGGCCGGAGGGCATTGTGTTCTGCAAGCACTTGGAGCAATGCACTTTGCCACAATGATGACAATTGGCTTTTCTTTGTTCAGTGGGTCCGGATCCTGCCACGAATGACGAGTCACAGGCAAAGCACGAGCTCACATCTTCCGGATCGACCCAACGAACTTCGTGGTCCTGTTGACGAAGGCGTTCAAGTTGAACCTGTGGGGGAAGAATCCGGATAGAGGTGACAGTTCATATGATCCTGAGATATGAGTGGGCACAATGTGTATTGAACACCCGTGTGTCTCATCACAACTTTCTATACAGCGCATTTGTGCACGTTCCAGTCATATAACGCAATCAGTTTGCATAGAGGTGTAGAGATGTCTCCATGTTCAGTGTCAATTAACACTGAAAACGAAAGTTTTGAAGGGGAACTCTGTGAAGGAATCAGAGAGCGGTTTTGGTTGTATTTATCCTAAGCACCTGAGTTGAACACTTTAAGTTGGACATTTTAAGATAGAACAATGTGATAACAAAACGAATCGGAAAACTGTTACAGACCTGACCTATCTATCTGTTATCGGCCCGATATCTTTCAAAGAAGAAAACAATGGTAAGAATTTTAACATTCGCCCATATGTTTATTTTGATGACTACTTTTGACTGAGGAATCTCCTGGGTAAAACACTCTTGCACACCAATACCACTCCGTCATTTAATCACTAAGTGACACATGAAATTACGGAAATCCGTACACCGTGACAAGTTAATGCATCTCTAGTAACCCAAACATACACACAAGTGCACGTGTGTACACAGACAGGCATAGCGGGTTGAATTGGATTATAAGTTGCACACAAATAGAATGTATTTTACAAGCAAACATACTCAAAGCACAGTGAGTTCAAAACTCCCATGCTTTAATATCTTTGTATCATAATTCCGTATATTCAATCGATGATCTGGTGTGAGCACACTGATCGGACAAGCGAGAACGGAACTGCAGTTGCTGCGGCGCCAAAGAGGAGTGTAAAACTACTCCGTGATTCGC